ATTAAACTGTCATTATCTAGCCTGTGTAGTCCAGCCTATCACCTCAACATAGCGTCGTTTAATGATCCACACGTTTTTAAGAGCAGGCAAGAGTCCTGTATGAATAATATAATTCGTAAATCAAAATTAAACTCACCCAAAACGCTGCAAAAGGTGGTCTTGCAGACAGGAATTTTTGTGGGATGATCTTCGGTCAGCAAATGATATTCATTAGTGACCTCCCTATCCTTCTGCATATCGCTGTTGACAGCCTTTGGACGTCTCCGCTGAACTTTTTTGACAGTGATCAGCTGCAAAAGGACTTGATCCTGCTCGATTTTAGTGGATCCAGAGTAAAAACATTGAACGTTTTTTAATAGATCCCCTGGGGTCAATGTGTCTGCGTGACAGAATTTTGCTTTTGTATGAGAATGACAACAAGCGACAGCCGGCATTTTTCTCCTCCCGAGTGCCTCATTTTCTTAATCTCCTCACGTACATGATTAAATTTCGATGGCTTGCGTTTCTTCCCCACCGCAGAAACCACCACAGGTTCATCAATGCCGTCAAAATTATTCATGTTTTTATTGTTTGTTGAAGTAGATAATGACGAAAGCCGGTACATTCAGGGCGCCGCCATTATTGTTTACACTGCGTGGAATGCTCTGTGATTGGTTGAGGTGCGTGGAATGGTGCGCTGTGATTGGTTGAGCGGATGTATCGCATTCTGTAGAGAAGGGAGACTGGCGTATGTCGCTGTTTGGAAAGAAAGTGAGAAAACAGGACAGAATAACACGGTGGATATCGCGTTTTGCGTAAAATTGAATATTGACTTTTCAACACCAACGAAATACAATACTGATTTCGGCGGGAACTCATTTTTTTCAAAAGTGGCGTCTATCGTGTTTTGTAACCAAACTCTTCATTTATACTTATTTGCATTCACTGCAAGAAAACAGACCATCAATCCATATATGTTTTACCTTAAAATATTTACAACTGCCAATAACAATTTCATTTAATTTCACGCAATACAATCTGATTAGCCTTGCTAATAAATGTGTGATGTATATTGCATTGTTTTTTACAAACAACCCATTGTCCTGTGTTTCTTTTTCTTTCTTTTATTACAATATGTGTCTCTTATTTTCAATCGAGTGAAGAAAAGTACCTTTCTTTTTTTTGTTTGTTCAGTATAATAAAATATGTTAACTTTATTCATTTTATGAAGAAAAACAACGACAACGAGAAAAATAACAGCAAAATAACAAACTTTTTTTTTACCGCTCTTTGTAAACCTGGAGAGCTGCTGCATTGCGTGGGAAGCAAATACAACGCAGACAGTGAGGAAGAGGAGGAGGGGGGAGGGGAAAGAGGAAGAGGAGGAGGAGGTTAAAGATAAGGCCAGAGACATACAAAATGGATCGCAGGGGGAGATTGGTGGCGGGGATGAAGCAGGAAGTCGGGTCAGAGTTAAGCGATCATGCCGTATTTGGAAAGAGCGATACACTACAGAAAGGACCGTCTGACAGCAAGGTAAAGCAATGAAAATATTCTTAATATAGCGTACACCTTTAACTCGCTGTCAGCCGGCCTATCTGACAGGAAATGAAGTTATATCACTCTCTCCAAACCCACCAGACTCCATTAGAACAACTGAAATATCACCTCACAGACTCAGGAGTTGCTGGTCCAGTCAGTTAGTCTGTGTTATTGTGTGATTTCGGGGACTCTGAACTAACCTTTTAAAACCCAGAAGTCACACAACAACACAAACTAACTAACTGATTCATGCAGCAGTAGACCAGGAACTCCCATACACTGGTCAGGTAAAATGACCTATCAATGGAGTCTGCTGCCTTTTGTCTAGATACAAAAAGGATGGCAGGAGGACAGGAGGTTGGTGCTGGAGGAGGAGGAGGAGGACGTGGCGGTGATGAAGCAGGAAGTCAGAGTTCAGAGGTCGCTCTCTCCGTACAGAGCCGTGGAGAAGGACATGTAGTCGAGGGCCCCGGGGACCCCGTCGTCCGGCCCGGAGTATGGAGCCATGCGGGCGATGCAGTAATCCGCCTGGTCCAGAGGAAGCTTGCGGCGCAGCTCGTACGGTAAAATGTTGTTCTTGTCCCGGGCCAGGATCTTGAAGGAGGCGACGACCTGGTCGGCGGTTTCCGTGTCCGCCGTCTCTCGGGACATGAAGTTGATGAACCCCTGGAACGTGACGATGCCCATCCTGTTGGGATCTACGATGCTCATGATGCAGGAAAACTCGTTCTCACCCTGTGCATCGTTGGCGATATCGAATCCCAGGCTGTTTAGGCAGGCCTTGAACTCCTCCGCACCCAAAGTTCCAGAGTGATCCCTGTCGAAGTGGTTGAAGGAGGCTTGGTACTCGTTCAGCTGCTCCTGGCTGATGCCTTTAGCATCTCTCGTCAAGATCTGGTTCTCGATCTCGTTGATGGTGCGGGCGATGGTGGTGAGCAGCTGCTCCCAGCCCACACGGATGTGCTCCATGGTGTAATTGGTGTGCTTGTTGTCGAAGATGAGCGCCTCCTGGATCAGCTGGTCGATCTTTGGCTTGTAGTTGACGATGTTCTTCTCGTACTGACGGAGGTGAGTCAGCTGATCCTCCAGCGTGCCGTTCATCTCCATCGAGATGTGCCCGATCTCCTCCATCTTGGTTTGGATCCAGGGTCCAATCACGTTGGCCTGGTTGGCGAACTGTCTGCGCAGACACTCGTTGTTCTGCTGCCGGGCGTGCTCCTCGATCAGAGCCCGGTCGCTCTGAGGAACCAGCTGCCGCATCTTGTCCCACTTGGCGTTGACCTCCTGAGGGTTGATGGAGGTGTACCGTTTTTTTTTCCGGCCATGTCGACGTGGTACGTCTGCACGATCTTAGCGATCTCGTTGTGGATCCCAAGGATCGCCTGCTGCTCTTGGTCCGGCTTGCGGGCCGTGCTCAATCCCTGGATCTCCTCGATGGTGTGCACGATGAAGGTGTCCTGTAGGTCCTCCATGGCGCCCTCCATCCGGTTGTTGAAGGGCGCCGCTCATTTAGCAAACTCCAGGTACAGCTGGTCGATGGTTTCCAGAAGCTTCTCAGTTCTCTGCAGAGCCTCGCTGCGTTTATGGGTCAGAGCTCCCAGAGCGTCCCACTGGTCGCAGATATTCTGACAGCGAGCGTTCACACTGAGGGAGTTGTAGTAGTCCAGCTCATTTAACTCCTGTGCGATGGTGGCGATCTGCTCCACTCGGTCCTGATGGGCAGCGAGGTCGCTCTCGTACGCCTCGTGTATCTTCAGCAGAGCTTTGATCTCCGACAGAGAGACCGTCTCGTAGTTGTGCTTCTGCAGCATGGCCTCCTTACCTTCAGTACAGGCTTTGTGGATCGTTGCTTTCTGACAGAACTTCTCGGCCAGATGGTCAAGTCTCTCCAGTCGGCGGATCTCGTTGAGGAGCCACTTCTCGTGCCCTTTCTCCGCTCCCTCCAGACCCCCCCACGCATTGTTGATGTCTGACACCATCTTCCCCTCGGAGGGCATGAAGGTGGGCCGGTTGCTGAGCCTCAGCTTGGTCTGTAGCGTGTTGAAGTTGATCTCCAGCTGGCATTTCTCCTGCACTTTGGGCGGCTTGTGAAGGCGGAGGTAATCCCTGAAGTCCTCCAGCTTCTGCTGCATGGCCGCCATGGTGTTCTCCGGCAGGCGGTTCTCCAGCCAGGGGATGGTGCGCCGGATCCACTCCAACAGCTGTGAGTGTGTGTGTGTGTGTGTGTGGGGGGGGGGAGAGGATGGAGGAAGTTCAATTTGAGGGGAAGAAAAGGGAGCACCATGCAGAGGAGGGGGAAATAGATGAGGTGTAATGGATGTAGTTCATGTGTGAAAGGAGAGGAGAGAACACAGGATGAGTTTTGTTGTTCATTTCCTGCAACTTAAGGTCACCGTAATTACTTTTTATGTCTGATTAAAAGCACCTACATGTGTTTTTGCATGTTTTAGCACATTTAGCAACATGTGTGTGTTCATTTTAAAGCTGCTGGCAATTTTCCGTAGCTATAACTTTTTTAAATCATCAAAGGAAAAGCCATCTTTAAACTAGTAAAGCCTGGAAGGATTACTGGACTTTTTTAGTCTTTGGAGAAGTCTTTAAAAAAATCTAATGGAGATATTTCAGCTGATTTGTCATGGACCGATAAGAGGAGCAAACATTTTAATACATTTTCTTAAAATTTGGTTGTGAAATTCTTAACGTTGAACAGATTTATTTGCAATTATCTGCATTATTTTCTGGTTATTTAGCAGCCGTTATTATGCATCAATACATAAAAGGAACAGTATCTGCAATAATATAATTTAATATTTAGTTATTTATCAGTGAAGCTCAAATGTAAAAATAAAGATAATCATTTTAAATCTTGTTTCTTTTAACGATTTTTCATAAATAGTGAGTCTTCCTTATTGGTGCATTCAAGTACAGGGACTAATGCTGGAGTTTCAAATGTCTCAACCTTCCACAGGCCCTTAAATGCACCACAAAAAGTCCAAAAGCAACTTTAACGAATAAGAAATTATTTGTAAAATAATTGTATAAACTGAAACCAAAAACTTCCAGCATGTTAAGCAAAAATAAAATGCTTTGGGAAAGTATTTGCAGAAAATGGTTTGCAGTTCGTTGTAAATTAGCTAAAAAAATGCAAAAACTATATAAATATGAGATATTTTTCCACTCTTACGCCTCAAACCACTGTTTCTAACCACACAGAGCACCCCCCCAGGAGAGGAGAGAGAGGAGGAGAGAGAGGAGGTGCAGGACGAGTAAAGGAATAACAGGTGTGTGTGTGTGTGTGTGTGTGTGTGTGTGTGTGTGTGTGTGTGTGTGTGTGTGTGTGTGTGTGTGTGTGTGTGTCTGTGCTAGCATTACTATCCTTGTGGGGACCTACATCTGTATACACAGTCACGTGTGGGGACTCACCTCCCTTACGGGGACATAAGGCATGTGTTGGTTAAGGTTAGGATAAGTCTCCAGGAAATGCATGTAAGTCAATGTAATGTCCCCTGAAGTGATTTAAACATGGTGTGTGTGTGTGTGTGTGTGTGTGTGTGTGTGTGTGTGTGTGTGTGTGTGTGTGTGTGTGTGTGTTGGGGAGGGGGGGTGTGTGTGATTAAAATAGCCCAATTGCTTTTACAATAAATAAACATTGAATGTGTTTAATTGAATAGTAAAGGGGTTTANGTCTGTAGCGTGTTGAAGTTGATCTCCAGCTGGCATTTCTCCTGCACTTTGGGCGGCTTGTGAAGGCGGAGGTAATCCCTGAAGTCCTCCAGCTTCTGCTGCATGGCCGCCATGGTGTTCTCCGGGAGGCGGTTCTCCAGCCAGGGGATGGTGCGCCGGATCCACTCCAACAGATCGGAGGCCAGCTTCTCATAGTCCTCCATCAGCTGCTCGTTCTCCTGGTTCACCGCCAGAACTTTACAGATCCTGTTCGCCGCTGTCTCCGCCTTCTGAGCGCCGGAAAAGGCGTGGTAGAAGCTAGAGACGTACGTCATGATCGCCTTCTCATCCGGACCGGCTGTGCCCACGATGTCTTCTGCGTCCAACATCTTGGGGATGTCCAGGTATTTCTCAGCGACGTCGAACGCCGTGTTCAGGTTGGTCATCGGGTCGTCCTTTCGCAGTTTTGCGTAATCGATGAGTTCTGGACGGTATCGATGAATGACTGCACAGAAACCCAACCCGTCTTTCCAGCTGATGTGGAAGTCCCGGAAATCCTCCTTGATGTTGTCGATCTGCGTTCCTGCTTTCCTCAGGTGGGAGTTATACCACGCTGTGAATGTCTTTCTATGCTGTTTCTCCCATGCAGGGTCCAGGAGCATATCCCGATCCCAGTCATCCTCCTGGTGCATGTAGGCAATCTCGTCCTGATCCATGTTATACATTTATACTGGTTCTTGTATCTCAATGCTGGGTTTTTTCTTCCTGCAGCTCGGCTCCGCCACACATTCAGAGTCGGTTTATGGATTAAATTAACGGTCCTCCCTCGGCTTCTTCTTCCTCTCTTTCTGTCCTTCTCACCCTCCCTTTCTCTCCTTCTCCCCACACACTCTGCCTATTTTCTCTCTCTCTTCTTCTGTAGTTTTTCAGCAGCTCTCCGCGGAAGACGAGTAGCAACCCAAAAAAAAAAAAAAAAAAAAAAAAAAAAACCTTTGTCCTGTGTTTTATGTTTACAGGAGGGCAAAGTGCTGTACATTTGAATTGTTGCCCCATTCTTCATTTACTTGAAAATCCAGAGGCGTGCCTCATACAATCTAGTGTGTCATATTTAGTTTAAATGATTTCCCTTCCCACAGGACCGTGGCTGTGTACAAGAGATGGAGGTGCTTGTTTTTCTTTATAGCTTGGCCCATGGACCTTCCCTCTCTATGGTCAGTTCTGAATATGGGATTCCCAAAAAGTCATTGGGTAGGTAAAGGCCCATTTTTCAACCCTAATTTCCCTGCCAACTGCAGATGAGCTGCAACAGACTGCACAGGGTTTCTGTCGTCTTGCAAAGAGTCCAACATTTTACCATGCTGCTGGAGCCATTGATGGAGGTCATAACATAATTAAATCTCCAGGGAAACAGAACAACAGAGAATACAGGCCATCAGTGGTTCAAGTGGAATCATTCTGGATGTGTTTATTGGATTTCTAGTCTCCGTACATGAGGCCAGAGTTCTTCGAAACAACCCCATATTCGGCCAGACCCTGATTCCCCCAGCTGGCTGGTCCCCCCTTGGAGATGGTTTTTAGCCTTGCCTGGAGAAACCGTTTGCCATCCTTACAAAGCCCCTCAGCACAGCCAGGTCCTGGAGATATTTAGCAGTCATGATGCCAGGGCTAGTTCTGTCGTGGAACGAGGGTTTGGACGTTTTGGAAGGCCACTCTATGTAGAGCTGGAGCTTAGTCCAAGCTGTACCAGACATCATTGCATGCTTCTCAATGTGAACCTTAAAATGCGGCTTCTAGTTACTAACTTGTAGCTGGAAACTTGAATGAAAAGGAGTTGGAAAATGTACATTTTAGATAGAATTGGAGATTCTCTCCTTTCAATCAAAACCACCCTGAACTGTTTAAAATGAATTAATTCTGCTTCCAATTGCATTTTATAATAAATCATCTGCATACCAATGGAGACCTAAGTTATTAATACACTTTGTTAAGAGCCAAATACCTTAAACATTGGGGAGGAACAAGGACAAGTAGCTTTATTTCCACAAAAATTGTTAAAAAATCTGTTAATTACACTTTCTTTTTAGAAAAATATAAGCATAGGAACCGAGGATTTCCTCGGGCCGCTTTGTATGTCGGGACAGCAGATAACTATTCCTTCAATCCTTTGCCATTAAATTCAGATAATTACCAGATGTTGACCAGCTCCAAGTGATTTGATTGAGGTCACGCACACCACAGTGAAATTCACTTCCTTCCCCTCCCTCCTTACTTTCTCTCTTGCTCTTCCCCCTCCTCTCCATCTTATTCTCAGCACAAAATAAAACCTGTCTCTATAAAGTTAACCAGGGTGTGTGGGAATGAGTCTCCAATTACAACAAGGACATATATTAATGAATTGAACTGTAAAATCGAGTGTTACACCGCTTGAAAATCAAACCCCACCAGCAATTGCAATTATGTTGATGTTGAGCCAGAAGGGATTGTAGGGTCTGGGAACCACTGATAAAGCATCGATCTCTATTCTTTTTACTTCTCTGTTCATCTGTTTTTCTTTTCTCTTGGGGCTCCCCTAATTCTTTTGGCATTCTGTCTCTGTCCATGAACATTTCTCTTTCCCTCGAACTGGATTCACAGGCCAGAGCTCCGGATTGTTTTGTCTCTTCTGTGTATTTTTTGGCTTGAGCTTTGTAGGTTTTGGCTAGGATTTAGTGCACAGACTGAAGTAAATGTGTGCCGTTCTGTATTGTTTGTGCCAATACACCCTCAAACCTAAACAACATAAAAGGTGTGTGGTGTGTTTCTAGGGGTAAAACAGAGGTTGTAATAACTGCTTGAACAGAATAACTATTTGTCAGTAGGAGGACTTTTTGTTTGGGTTTTCAGCTGCTTATGCCAATAACATTATGAGACACCTGATACATTAGGTATTTTCCCAAAGTCTTTTTGCTTTCCTTTGTGTCTTAGCCATCTAATCTGCCTGGCCCTTAACACAGTTATTTATTGCTTCCCATTGTTAGATTTGTTGTGTGCTTTAGTTTAAAAGTGTGTCCTTGTGTTTGATCATTGTCTTGCGTTCATTATTCTCTGGAGGAAAAAGGAAGGAGCACTCTCTTGCCAATTTGTGTCTTGGTGCAGCTATCAACACGACACGCACGGCTACACACAGGGAGGGGATGTAATTGATCTTGTTACTTTGTTCCAAACCTTGGATACAACTATAATGTCTTTCTACCTAATGTATTATCATAGAGAGCAAAAGAGATAAATCACACATCCTTGTTTCTCTCTTTCCTCCAAACACATGTGTTAGCCCACTCTGTTGATAACCTTTGTGCAAGTGCTGCTACTGTAGTGTCTCTACTTTAAAGAGTCCTCTCCTGCTCTGATGTTCAGGTGTATATCAGTATGTAGTGTCTCTACTTTAAAGAGTCCTCTCCTGCTGATGTTCAGGTGTATATCAGTATGTAGTGTCTCTTCTTTAAAGAGTCCTCTCCTGCTGATGTTCAGGTGTATATCAGTATGTAGTGTCTCTACTTTAAAGAGTCCTCTCCTGCTGATGTTCAGGCGTATATCAGTATGTAGTGTCTCTACTGGAACATGTCTCCATGCTTCAATGTTAAAAAAGCTCTTTATTGTTCTCATACTGCCTGTGCTGCAGCACCTCTTTTCACCCTCTGTCTGAAACCAGAGCCCTGTCTGCTCTGATTGGTTAGCTGGTCAGTTCTGTTGTGATTGGTCAGCTGCTTAGAGTCCCCCTAGCCAACAGAAGTGCAAGTGTTAAATAGTGATGTCATTATGTAACAGAAGTAAACAAAGGAGTCCAATGGAGGAGTGTGGTAGAGAAACTCCCTCTGGAGGGAACACAGGGATTTAGTCACTGTTGGAAAGAGGAGATTCCTAGCTTTCTAATGATATCAGGATTGTTTTTGTACTCCAAATATTAAGCAAAATATGTCACATTATATAATGACTGTCACCGAGTCATCATTTTGAGAAAAAGGCCTTCAAAGTTTCCTCTTCTCTGGAATCCATCGATCTGATTGATTATTAGCAAATGATCAAAATACTACGGAGGGAAGATATTTTCATTTGGATTACTGGTCTGGGGGAAGCTCCCGAGTGTGTGTGTGTGTGTGTATACGTGTGTGTGTTTGTATCATTTTGCATTTGTGTGTATGTTTCCCGGGGAAAACCCTCAAGAGAAACACCGGCTGTTGTTATGCCTGCTGTGACGTCAAGTTACTCCGTTCTCCGCTTGTAATTATGCCGTTACAAGCTTCAAAGTTGTATTTATCATCTGAATTTGCCGAAACAAGTTCAATATTCTGAAAGCCAAGACTTTGTTTATTTGAAATCAGATGAAAACAAACTGTAACGGACCCTGCCGTGTTATCTATGATTACTATACGCTTACATTCATAATTTCAGCCAGAGGGAGGGGGGGCGGCGGTCATGTAGAACAAGGCATTGATAAGTGTTTTATAATGACTAATAAAGAGCCAATATACTGCTAATATGCATTTTAATTAATAACTATTTGATGGTGAATTTCTGTACCTTAATATAAATGTTACCTAATATATTATTATTTATTTTTACTTTATTATTTGCTTTTTTTTGTCTGTCCTTACACAATGTAAAGCGGCCTTGGGTCCCTTGAAAGGCGCTATACAAATTATTATTACTATTTTTTTAATTCAATTATATTTCTGTTTCTACTTTTCCTTCTTACTAAATGCTTTCTTCATTTTCACAATTAACTTCAGAAGAAAGGACATTAAAACATCAAAAATAGATAAACATCAAATACTCAAATGTTTCTCATGACGAGTCCTGATGGAGTAAGTACAACAACTGGGAAATAACTTAAAAAGATAGAATCTGTGTTGCCAAAGTTATGGTTATATTTGCGCAACACTTTAGTCAACTTCTGTGTAGCTTTAGTTTGGACGCTTTGAGGAACAAAGCTGGTGTTCAAACATTGCATTTGTCCTTGTAGTTTACAGAAAGGATTTGATGCTGCTAAGCCTAGAAAGTGCTGGTAAATATAAACAACAAGTGCACAGTGACAAGTGGGGAATAATGATAAACTAGAAAAAAAGTTATATAAGTTGTTTCGAAATAAATCCCTGCAAGGTGTTGCTGTTCACATTTTTGTGGTGATCTAAATGTGCCATCAACAAATTCTAATCACAGTACCAACAACCTGTGTTCAGATTATGAGAACGCTAGGGTTGAGATTGATTGATTGTTTCTTTTTTTAATATAATGATAATATTCACATACATTATAATAATAATAATAATAAGGTTTTTTGATGCTGTTAATATTTGTTTGAATCAGTAATGCACTACAAAATTGCATGTTCTTACAATTTACATTCTCTTTTTCACGTTTTTGTCAATCACACTTATTGCTGAGAATTGGGGAATAACCCTCAGATTTAGTAATAGTGCGCTGTTGTAATACCGTCACAGTATTGTGAGATCAATCACTGTGGTGTGTACAACTAATATAATCAGTGGCAAAAGCTGCAAGATAATTCCCAAGTTATTAAAACCCCGGAATTATCTTTTATATTTAAATTGCAAAAAAATATAAAAAATACAAACAATAACGACAAGATTCACATGTTACTGCCCAAGCAGAAATAAGACAAGAAAGGTAACAGAGTGGAGGTATTTTGTCCCACAACAGATTGTTTCAG